GTCAACACCTCTGATTCTCATCAACGTGGGTCACAAACTGAGGACACCCGGCCACCTCAGAGTTACAAAGGTCTATCTGCTCTGAGCAACCTACTTAGGAAACCTAAACAAACGGGTAACAGGGAAAGATCAGGGAAACGTAGCTTTTTGAGAGCATCCGAGCAAAAGAATGAACGGAGAACCATGATCGCCGATGTCTGTCGCAGATCTGGCACTGGATGATGATGGTGATCTGCTCAGTACCTAGTTTTGAGAAATTTGACGTCAAACATTTTGATTTTCACATCATGTCAAACTTTTTCGAATGCAGTTCTTTGAATAGCTTGGTAATGACTCCGAATAATCTTACGATTTTATGGGTGGTTGGCGGGTGCTCTGGTGTGATTTGCTTCTTCTTTCCTATCAAACATCTATCGTCCTTATCTCCCCTTCTTCTTTTTTATGTTTGTTACTCTCGTGTAACACCTCTAATTTCTGGCGCTCATATGACCGTATGCAGCTGCGAGCGCCGTAAAACCTCTACTAAAACTAAAACTAAATCTTACGTTTTTGATTGAGCAAATAAAACATTCGGTGTTTGACCTCATGGTCCTAGTAACTCAAAACGACAAAAAAATGTCAGAAAGAACTTTGTAATTTTGAGGTAGCGATTAGACGACCTAAGATCTACGAGGTGCTACTTCCTTTACATTTACGCCGGAGGTATATGTGAGGCAGCGTGGTGGAATCAGGCTCTCGTCAATTTTTCGGCATGTACAGTTATTGGTATCATCGTAAAGCTTGTTTGCTTGTCTTTATTTGGATGAAAAAAATATCCACTTATCTTGAATACAAGTTGAGATATGTTCGAATGAAGGAGGTGGGTGTCACCTGTTTTCAGAAGTAAAATGAGTGAGAAAATGGCCGCCAAAGACTAGTTATATCCTTAGCTTGAGAGTCCGTGCGTGGTAACTGAAAATTTACTTTTTTGTGCCTTTAATCAACGTATTTCAGAAAATACCTTACAGAAATGACTTCTTTAAAGGGCATGAAAGGTGTTGAGCCAAAAAACAAAAATTTGATAACAATTCACAAACCTACGGAAAAATGCAAGTTTCTTCACTTTGATTATTTTGACAAGAGCCTGATTCCACCACGCTGCCTCACATATAGTTCTATACATCCAGGGGTCATGCCATTATTTGTTGCTTCATTCCTCCTCTTCCATTAAACCACCATAATCCAAAGTAAACCCGCTAGAAGCCAACAATAATTGTGTCGCGACGTGGTGGAATCAGGCGCTCGTCAATTTCAGGATATATGGGGTTATTGGTATCACCTTAAACCCTGTTCATTTGCCTTCATTTTGATGAAAAACATGTACATCTATGTTGAAAAGAAGTCAGAGTGTTTGCGATTGAAGGAGGTCAGGGTCGCCTGGTTTCAGAGGTAAAATTAGCGAGAAAATAGCTGTTGAAGTTTCGTAACTTCCATAACTTGAGAGTCTTTGGGAACAGAAAATTTACTTTTTTTTTGGGTTCCTTTAATCAATGTTTTTCAGTAAAATCCACACTAAATTTGTTTTAAATGGACATAAAAGTGTTGAACGCCCC